GCAAGTTACTTGAAAACTGTAATCCGTGACTCATTGAAAAAGGAATTTTATATTATTTAACTCAACTCGGCTGCCAGCTCTATTAAAACAACTCCAAATCCCTCAACGCTACAGTACATGTTGCATCTTTTGTATGAGTAGAAAATAGGGCCGAAGGATTTAAGGAAAAGATCAAATTTCTGACAGATTTTCTGCGATTTGAGACGTGATGGAGCATTATCACACATCAAACGCTGACTGTCACACGAGAAGGACACTGACACAACAGTCTCAAGCGTGGATCAGACAAATGTGCAAGGTGTGGCTAATAAATAAAGAGATTAGGCTTATGGCAGTCAAAGCCACATGCCTGAATCACACAGTAGTGATCAAGGATTCAAGCAACTTTATTTGTCATGCCAGCTCACGTTCACAGGTTTGTGGTACGAAATTAGCACTTTTTTTTAAAAAGAAAAAGCCTAATAAATAAGAAGTACAATAAAACAAGAGCAAAATATAAGTAAAAATACAGCAATATCAGATCAGGTTTATTGTCATTTTGCTGTACATACACAGTCGTACAGGCAAGATGAGAGAGCGTTTCTTCAGGATCCTTCAACCAGCAAGTTTTGCAAAGACACTAAACGTTCACTCTCACTGTCTCCTGAAGGGGGCGCTGCGTCCATGCGCGCCGCCATTCATTGAACATGGTGAACCTCTTCAGGTCCTGGTAGGTCTTCAGGGACACAAGGACACACACGATGGTGTGACGATGGTGAAGCTGCAGATGCTGTCCAGAGCTGTCTGTCTGTCTGTCTGCATCCCCTCCAGCTGGATGTCCGTCTGGGATGCTGTCATGGAGCCATGAGGGTTAGCCTTTAGCCTAGCATGGATCTCAGCTCTCTTCCTCCTCCTTTGTTTACGTTTGTACCGTGTACACTTCCTTCTCTCTCGGGAAACTGCCGCTGTAGTCTCCGATCGGACTCCGTGTTGGTGTAGTATGTCCACATCACAACCGATCGACGCAATTCCAGCGCCGCTCACTGTCCTGATGCCCAGCAAAGTCTCTCGGCTGTAAGATTTGCAGAATAAACGTCTGGGATAGACAAGACACTCAAAACATTCACTTCCGTTGTCTCCTGAAAGGGGCGCTGCGTCTATGTGTGCCGCCATCACCATAGCAACATAAGCGTAGTAAGAAAAGAAATATATAAACGTTAGAGTAGAAAGACAAAATTAGTTATGCTTAGCACTAAACATTTGTGTAGCAGCGAGGTAGACTGTGATATTGCACTTTGTTGGTGTCTAATAGTGCAATCAGCTGGCAAACTGAAAGCTTCAGTCTGCCTGAAGTAGATGAAATAGAGTTCCAGCATTCGTCTTTTATTGACCAGCCACACCTCGTGTACCCTTAATTGCAGTTGGTTCAAATTGCAGTTTCGATTCTGACCCTTGAATTTTCACAAGGATGGGAACCTGCAATCTGGAGGACTTTCCTAAACCATCCAGGCTCGGCGGCCACACAGCTCTGCAGGAGTCCAGCTGCACAGATCACACGCATGCTACGGCAGAACCAGATGACTCAGACCCACTTGTGGCTGCCGTTGTCAGGAACACACAACATGCACACGCAGATAATTGTGGAATCACTGGGAGGTGCATTTCTCCTCTTTCGTTAAAGTTAAAGACATCTGGACTCACAGAGAGAAAACACTGGCGTCACCCTTCTGTTCAGACGAAACATCCCGTGAAGTCAATCGTACCTGACGTGATGCTGTAATCAGTACTCCCTCAGTGGCCCAAACTACAAACGACTCCTTATGATGAATTCCTGTTTTATTTTTATAGATTTTCTGTAGACGTTCTGTCCACTGCGCGTCTTCAGGTGTCTCCCTCTGTAGTGCAATACCTTCCCATTGTTATTTATTACCGGCAGTATTCTCCAAAGACCCTCTTTAGCGCAGATGTGAAAGGTGCAGCGCTTCTATCTTTGTCTCATTCTTACTTGCTTGTTCTTTTTGCTCTCCCTTTTTCTCTCTCTGTCTCTCTCCCTTGCTATCTTCCTCCCCTGGCAGTCTTCACCAGCTTGTGCAGCCTTTACTAACTAGCTGTGCACTCCCACTCATAGGGAAAATGATGATGAGACAGCAAAAAACCCGCCACGGAGACAATGCACAGCGGAAAGAGGGTTGGATGGAGGGAGCGGGGCTGCAGAGAAGAAAAAAAAGAAAAAGAGAGAGAGAGACAACGCGCGAATGAGAGCCATCATTCTTTTTTTATACACTTTTACCACATATATGTTCGTCCCCGGGGAGCGCTGTGTCTCCGTCTGGGCCTCTGCCTCCCCTTTTCTGTGCCTTTTGTTGTCATCACTCAGTGCATCTTCCTCCCCTCCACCTTAAGTTATTAAATCTGTTCTCACCCCCTCCCTCTGTTTCTCCTCCTCCTCCTCCTCTTCTTCTTCCTCCTCCATTCCTCTCTGCCCCGCAACCTTGTTGTCTTGTGCCACTAAGTGGACTGCTTATATAACGGCGTACACCTAGAGGGACTCCCCGCCTCCTCTCACCCAGCCAGCCACTTCTTCTCACTCCACCCTTTTAGGCTCCTGTTTTTCCTCCTCTAGCCCCACCTCACCTCCTCCTCCTCCTCCTCGTCCTCCTCCTCCTCCTTTTCTTCTCGCGCCTCCACTGTTGCTGACTGTGTTTGAAACAAATGGTCCTCCTGCTGTGCAGCTCCGACTGATCAGGCTGAAGTGATAACCAAAACAGTAAACAGTAAAGTAACAGGACTGTGTCTCCGTTTAGAGCACAAACCATTAGTTTAAGGGACCGGAAAATACATTAGCGACTGTTTTGAAAGCGAAATGGCAAGAATTGTTTGAATTATACACCAAGAAATAGAATAAACGTCCCCTTTAAAAAATTGAAAATGTCAACTTTTCGCTGCCGTTTAATAGAACGATCAGCGGATACATCTAGAAGTGATTAATAACGAGGCAGCTCTGGATTCATCTCCAGTTTCTACCCACATGGATGCACCAAATAAGACGTTACTGTCCGTTCCAGAGGCCTCTCTGTACAAATGCACTGTCTCAGTAGAACTCAGCAGCCTTTCATCCATAAATACTATTTAGTGCTCAAACACAGACACCTTCTTGCTTCCTTGCATTCAGCTCCTCCTGCCCTCTCACTTATTTTCTCAATGACTGCAACTCTCCCTGACTTTTTTTTTTACACGCCGCCTGCATCCGAGGATTCTCCTCGACGCGCATTTTCATATTCAGCACAGCCTCTATCTCGCACTTTTCATCTTATGTCTATCCACCACTCTCACTCTCTACCCCGCACCCATTGTACCTCTTTATCTATCTTCTACCCCTCTTCCCCCCCATTCCCATCTCAACCTCACCACCACCACCACCACCAACCCCCCTCTCTAAATATAGTCCCTTTGAAGCATAGCTGTGTTGTCTCTTCCCGCAACACTGCAAGACAAAAGTCTGTCAGCTCACATCTGAGCAGCGGGGATAGAAAGCACCGATAAGATTGATGGCCCCCGAAAAGAACACTGGTTAAGAGAATTGATATTCATCTGCCTCAGCGTGTGTGTAAATGAATAGAAAGGATGGAAATGAAAAAAAGAAGAAGATCAGAGCAGAGGAGAAGATCTAGAAACAAAAAAATGTATCACCACAGTGAGAAAGATAGCAGGACAGAGAGAGAGAGGGGTGGCGTTAGGACATTTCTGATCTTCGTTTTGTAATTTAATAATAACCTCTCTGGAGGCCTGACCCAGTAACTTGTTTGCGTGAACACCTTTATGTGTGTGTGTGTGTGTGTGTGCTGGCACGATGTATGCACAGTGAAAGATGGTTACGAGTGTGTGAAAGTGTCTTTTTTTGTATGTGTGTTGCGAATAATATGTAGGGGGAAGAAGAAAAAAAAAGGGTGCAGAGGAGAAGAGTTGGAGGACGTACAGCAGCACAATACCTCCACCTAATGGTGCCAGCGAGTCGTTACAGGCGCGGGGTTACAAATCACCGCAGCCGAGGACAATTCCCACCTCATCAGCTCACCTGCAGGAGCCCTTCTAATGACTTCTACTTTGTCTAATTACAGATTGTATAATTTACATAATAAGTATACTTAGTATTATAAACAGTGAGGATGCCAGCATGGCGGCTGTATGTGGAATTATATCACATCATCCCCTCAGTTGCACAGTAAGGAGGTTTTTTTTTTTTTTTAAATTTTCTAGCTGGAGGGTTACTGTGCCATCATGTACATCACACACGTACATGTGCTCGACCTCAGAGCGGCTTTTCCAGGAGAGCTCGGCCCACGATGCGTCCCGTGTGCGGACCTCTTCCCCTGCGGCCCGAACATGCACCGGGATCCATCCTTCCACCTCAGTGACCCGGCCTGCAGCTGGCTCAGGGGTGGGGGAAAGACGGGAACGCAGATTATCATTCTCAGCACGGTCCTCAGCTCTTGCCACGAGGCATTTAGCGGGAAAGCGTGTTTTTTCATATGCAGAGGGAGGAGAAAGATGTAATAGCTCAGTTCTTGAGGAAGAAAAGGTTTTAAAGAAAAGACTTTAACTGTCCTTGTGTTGACTTTAGTGCTGAAATTGTTGGAAGAAAATTAACTTCTCGACTGTAAGATTTGGGTTTTTTTCTCTGCTTTATGTGAGTTTCCACGTGCTTCCCCAGCCTGTGATGGGTTTTGTCATGATTTGGTTAGAGTTGGTGTGTTGCACAACACTTAAAGACAAGCGAGAAGTTAAACAAGTACTTTGGCGTTTTTTTGGGGAATGTGTTTCTTGCTCAAAATAAAACGGGAACATTGACACCAGCGTGATGCCAGTCTCCACCTACAAGCACAAAACAACAAGTTTTCCAGGAAACTATGTGCTTTTTGACTAACACAAGTGATTTCTGGGAGTCTGGTTGCTTGGCAACCTCACGATGGCAACAAGCCACTTCTCTGATCTCTCTTCCTGTCTGTGTTTCTTTAATTCAGGCTTCGACGGGAGGGATACACGGTGCAAGTCAGCGTCAACGACTACCTGGACATCTACTGCCCGCACTACAACACCAGCCAGCGGGGGACGCTGGAGCGCGTCATAGCCGAGCAGTACATCCTCTACATGGTCAGCTACCGCGGCTACCGCACCTGCGACCCCCAGCTGGGCTTCAAGCGCTGGGAGTGCAACCGGCCCCACGCGCCCCACGCTCCCATCAAGTTCTCAGAGAAGTTCCAGCGCTACAGCGCCTTCTCGCTGGGCTACGAGTTCAACGTGGGCCAGGAGTACTACTACATCTGTGAGTCAGGCCGGATAGCGCTGTGATGGATAGCAGGAAGGCTTGAGGGTGCTGCACAGCCAATATTTTGATGTGAGATTATAATGAGGAGCTTTCTCCGCAGCTGCTGTCACCCACATGTATTGACAGCGTGTGGGTGTTCCTAATTGATTCTGGAGGTTCGGCTGAGGACAGGCGGGCTGCTCGGTTGCAGCGCTGCAGTTGTTGCGGGCGCTGCGGCCTGCAGAGGGCACAAGGTTGACGTGTTGTGTGTGTTTGCTCTGTGTTGCAGCCACCCCCACCCACCACCACGGCCACAGCTGCCTGAGACTGAGGGTCTTCGTCTGCTGCTCCACTGGTGAGACCCGACGACTCCCGCCTCGGCTCGCCGCGTCGCATCCACTCATTTCTACGCCGCTTCCTCGCTCTCTCGGTGTCACTTTATTTCCACTCTCCTCCGATCTCTTTCGCAAACACTCAGAGAAACGGAGACAAAGAGGCGCAGAGAGAAACAGACAGAGAGAGAAAGAAAGAAGGGAAAAACTAAGATCTGACATTCTCGTCTTACAGAGAGGCTTTTCTGCCTCGTGCTGTCTTGGCAGAGGGTTTTGATGATGGCGTCTTTTCCCTGGAAGCAGCGCTTTGAGAGTGATGGCTTAATGTTATTCTCCTTCTCAGTGCTATTACAGTAATGCTCTATCTCTCTCTGTGAATGACATGCTCTCGTGAAGGCGTACAAAAGATGCAAAAAAAAAAAAAAGAATTGATTCAGCTGCAAGATCCAGCTCCCTCTGCCCTCCTCTCCCTCTCTTGACCACCCTCCCTCCTTCTCCCTCCCTGTCTATCTCTTTCTTGCTCTCTGAAGCCTGCTGCTCTGTATAGTGTGTGTGTTATTTTTACCCTGCTAGCCTGCTCTCTCCCCTGCAGGCCTTTGATCAGGCAGCCCAGTGCTGAAAGCCTCCCTCTCTCCTCTAACCTTGTCAGCACTAATACATCCCACACTCAGGCCAGTGTCAGCCCCTGTGTACACATCACCTTAACACCCTCCCCCCCATCCCAGTGTCACTGCTAATCTATTGATGTGTCTACCACGCCTGCATTTGCTTCTGCTTGTGTGTGTGTGTTTGCGTGGGTTTAAAGTGTAGGAGTCGTGTGTGTGTGTGTCTGCACATGGTAGTAAATTTTTATAACGTGTGGATTTGTGTGTGTGTGTGTGTATGTGGGTGCATTTAGTTTACAATCCACAACCTTTGCTTAGCAAGGTCATTTTAACAGCTTGCTATCAAAACCTCTCTGCTGCCCTGCTTTCATTCTCTCTCGCTCTCTGCGTGTCTCCCACTTTAACCCCTGCAAGACTTTCGGATAAGAAATATTTCTGCTTTGCATCTGCGACGAGCTGCAAATTGATTGCTTCTGCGCGCATTCTCTGTTAATGCTGTTTCATCCTCTTAACTAAGCATCACAGTCACATATTTAGCAAAAAAAGAAAAAAAAAGAAACACAAAATAAAAACACACAGAGACGTATACACATCGAGGAACCCACACATCGTTCATTCACGGATAATTTGGCAGTGCGAGCTGAATGTAATTCCATGTCTAGACGAACAGTAAATGTAATAATAATTTCTGTCCACCACTTCCAAATGCTTTTAATCTTCGGATGGGGAGTCTGGATTCACAATTTCCTGCAGCGGGGGCCCCCACGCTATGTCCTGCTATAACTGTACACAATTTAATGGTGCCTAAAATGCACATTTTTCCTCAGTCCTGTCGTTTTAATGGAGTGTTTCTCTCTCTCTCTCTCTCTGTCTGTCTGTCTCTCCCTTGTTGCTGTTTCTGTCCACTGCTTTTTTATTTCCTCCTCTTCCCTCCCTGTCTTTGTGTACATGTGGTGTGTCTCTCAGTCTCCCAGGCGGATGACGACTCCAGTCAGACTTCTCCCGACTACACAGTCAGGCCAAACATCAAAATACACAACATCGGTGAGTGACTCTGAGCTGCTGGAAACGAGCAGCAGCCGATTGCCAGATGCTGGTCAATGTTTGGCTTTGGCTGAGACGCTTGATTTGGGTACCAATCATTGTGGAAGGGAAGCAGACATTTGTTAGTTGTTTTTATTCAATGGTTAGCAAAATAGAATCCACAAGCCATTGCTGGTTGATGAGTAAAGCCTTTACTTTCTTGGGAGTTGTGCAACATGGGCGAGTGCTGTCCTACATATGGAATCCTGCACAAGTGTGAGAAACCCCTTCAGACATGCACTCCTCTCTGTTACGATTACAGCATCTCAGTGTGTCTGCTCCACTCGCAACACTCGGTTTAAATAGTTGCTTCCGTTTTATCGACAGCAAGTCGTGCACAAGTGGCGTATTTCAGGTTGTTTGAGCGGTTTGGCGGTTTCAGTCCAAAAGCATCACACAGAAAACCACAAAACAAAAAAAAATTTCACACCTTCTGCAAACTGAAATGTACGTCACTTCAACGGGCAGCTGTGGCTCAGGCGGGTTGTCCTCTGATCGCAAGGTTGGCGGTTTGATCCCACAGTCGAAGTGTCCCTGGGCAAGACGCTGAACCTGAAGTTGGCAGGCAGCACCTTGCATGGACGCTCTGTCGCCACCGGTGTGTGAATGCGTGTGTGATTTACATTCACTGATGACGGAACAGGTTAGATCACTAAACTAAGCCAGTTTGTTGCTTCCAGCTGTTTGCAGGAGTCTTTCCTCTGAGTTCATGAAGTTCCTGCAGCATTAGACGGCAACAGAATCCGTATGTGCGTCTCCAGAATTACAGAGTCATGTGGTTTAACAGCAGCCACTTCATTAATTACTTACAATTATAAATTACTCCCAATGACATTGTGTGTTTCTGTGAGTCACAGTTTATCAGCTGCAGCAAAGCTATTTGTCATCCGATTATCAGGGTTTACAAAATCATACATAAACTCCAGGGTTGGTTATTTGCACAGTTTTCTGATTTAGATGTCGTCTTTTCTCCGCCACACGTCTGAAAACATCTAATTTTCAACTCGAGTCATATCCTTGGTGTTTTGACCGTCTTTCCTATCGGTTCTGATAACATAATAACCACAAGAAGCAACGTGGGAGCGCCGAGCCATTAAACCGAGGCAGCATTGGCCCCAATACTGACCTTATTATACCGTTCATTCGTCAGTGTCATTATAAGATTAATTGTTTCCTCTATCAGCTGCATTAATTCAGCCATGATGCTACACAGCCTCCTCTGACCTCACGTTATCTCACATAAAAATGATTTTAATGAGCTGCGCACAGCGAGGCATGCAGATTTCAAATTCGGGGAGCAGTTAAAAAGAAGGCAGCAGCAAATATGAGTGCAAAAACCAATAAATTTGTACAAAAAAAAGCACGAAATAGTATCAAATAATAAAACAAGACACAACAGGATGACAACTCCTAACATGAAACTGAAGATAAAATACAAAAAAATGAAGCCATAAGCTGCTTTACTTCCAGATGATGTGAAAATGTGGAAATTAACGTGTGATTGATGTGCACAAAGGACCGCCTGTCTTTGTTTTCTGCACTAGTTTGGCTTTAAATCCTGCGTCTAACAGCTTGCCCATTTATTGTTTTCGAGACTTCAAAAGCAGTAATCTTTAAAACATCAAGAACCCCCCCAAAAAAACCTCCCACAATGCACCTCACACGTATACACTCGCGGGCAGGTGAAACCTTCCTTCTTCCACTGTGCAACATCCACAAGGTCAGCAGAGGTCTTGTAAGAAATGAAAGGTCCATGTTTATTTAAGGAGAAAGCATGTCAGCGAGCCAGTCAATTGTGCAGCTGAGCGGTTACATAAACCCTCTATTTTTCTTTCTCTCTTCTCCATCCCCGTCTCAAACAAAGGCCTCTTGCCGGGAATCATTTAGCATGCTTGTTTCTGGGAGCTGTAGGCAGTCTGTGACGAGGGCTAAGAGAGTGTGACCTGCCTGAGATGGAAACTGAGACCAACAGAGACAGAATGAAAAGAGCTCTCGAGCCATCAGCGACGAGTACCTTCAGAGAGGGAGAGAGAGAGACGGAGGGAGGCTGGAGAGGAGGCAGAGACAAAGTGAGGCGGAGAAAGTCAGAGAGATAAAAGGCAGGAAAAGGAGGCAGCGAGAGAGAGTCGGACAGAAAGAAGGACAGATAAGGCAGAGCGAGTGAAGGCAGAAAAAGAGATAAAACCGGAGTGGGGGCAGAGGAAGAAAGAAAAGCTCAGTGGTGGGCGAATTGCTCAGCAGTAACTCGGGCTGGAGCTTACGTAGAATTTAATATAAAAAAAAACAACACACACACACACACACTGGCAGGGAATCATAAAAAATCATAGCCTCTAGCGCTGTGATGCATTTTGCTGAATACATTTGGAGGAATAACAAAATCAGGACACACAGATTTATGCACACACACACACACACACACACACACACACACACACACACATCTCCTCGCCCCGATGGCCCTGCTGACCGCTGGACACCCACTCTCTGACTCACCCTCAGGACCAGACCAGCCCACAGCCTGGCTCAGCACCAACACTTTTCTCCATCTCGCTTCGCATATGGTCCGACTCGCTGTCATCCTCGTTACTCTATTATTAGCTTCCGTTCTACGTCACGTGTTCCTTATTTAACCGGGTGTTTTAAGGATATTACAGCGAGGATCTTTGTTGTTGCAGCTTCGCCGGGGTAATAACTGCTGAGATCTGGAAGGACGGTGACGGCGCTTGTGTCTGACAGGGCGAGAAAGACGAGCGTGAAGGTTTTAGACACATTCGCGGGTCAACCCGGCTATGAAAGAGGAAATGAAGGGCAACTGCACAAAACAACGTCCTCCGACGTGTCAGATTTATGCTCAGCATTTTACAGTAATTGCATTTGCTCTCATGTACAATCAACAAAAAACAACTCAACATTTACTGTAATATAAATCCAGCCAGGAACCTTTCAGTAAAGAGATTCAAATCTTTTCTTGTTGTCAGTATTATGGATGTCCGTCTTCATTTTTTGATGACAGACTCGATCCTCCTCTGCATGAAGAAAAGCACATTTTGATGTTTTGCCATTCTTCATAGATTTTTTAGCTGCCCCTTGCTGTAGAGGTTCTGTTGCTCTAACTGTCTTAAAAACTCCAAAGATGCTCGGCTTTATTCAGGTCAGGTGGCATATTTGTCCAGGTCATGCTTTCTCGCTTCTTTAGAAACTCTTGTGTGATTGTGGCAGTGAGCTTTTGTATTCTTGTCATGCTGGAATATTCCTCGTCTGCAAACTGAGAACCAAATTGTCAGCCAGTGTTTTGGTAAATCCACGATGACTCATGGTGAAACCTGTAAATGTCTGCTCTCCAACATCCTTTGCACTTATGCAGCCCCATACCATAATACTGCCACCTCCGTGCTTCGCTGTCAGGACTATGCAGTCACTGTTCTGTCCAGGTCTGCACCAAACAAATATCTTGGTCTGAGTTGAGCCAAAATTGTGCTCCCAACATTTATCAGACTTCTTTTTAGTTTTTAGCAAAGTTAAGTCCTGGATGTCTCCCATAGAGGTTCATGTGATGCAGTGTTCTTCACGCTCTCTGAGCTGTCATAGAAACCCTGACTTTCATTTATAACCCCTGTACCAAGCATGAGGCATAATTTTTGGAGGATGACCGTTGCGGCTCTGATTAGTGGTGCTGTTGATGGTTTGTTCTGTGCCTCCTGATTACTGCTGCAACTGCGTTTCCACTCAGTTGGTTACTGGCAGTTACTCCCTGCCTGTTTTTCCATCTTTGTATATTCTTGCAATCAGATTTTTCATTTCCTTTTAGATACTCTTTTCAGCGTGGAGCCACGATACAGACATGCAGATGGACACAGCCCACATGGGTCCAAAAGTAGTAGAGTTACAGCGTTCACAGGTCATTTTACAACTACATGTGTTCATCCCCTTCCATTAAAGAAAAGGCAAAATCCACAACAGTCACTCAAATAACTAGAAACTGAAAAAAGTAATAATAAATAAAAATTTGCTAAATTACAATTTAGTGAAATAAGACGTTGCTTTTGAATTGTAGTCGAAAATAAAAATTTAAAAAACAAACTGACCCAGACAAATTAGAGCACTTTGCTGATGAGCAGTGGGCCAGAATACCTGTCAACAGGTGCACAAGTCTGACTGAGAGTTACAGAAAACCCTGAGGCAGTGATTGGCTCAAAGGGTTGTTCAACTAAATATTAGTGTAGGAGTCCCATCATGCTCTTTTTTTTTTTTTTTTTAATATTTCTGTTGAACCACAATTCAAAAGCAAATTCATGATTTTCATTAAATATTCATTTATTATGACTGCATTCAATTCTTCTTTGTGGCCTGGATTTTCCATATAGTACTAAAGTATTTGATTTTATTTGTTTAAAAAAGGAACCTTTTTTATTCTCAGCTTAGATATAATGCAGTTACCGAGAGTTTAGACTTCTAAGTGATACTGCTCTCGGGGTGTACTCACTTCTGTTGCACGCTGCAGAAAAATATCACCCAGGCTGTCCGCTGTAAACATTCATGGCATTATTTGTGAAATGAGATGCTGCTACCATTTACAATCTGCGTGCAAGCCCTGCTTACTAATCAGTTTTATGAAAATGCCCACTGCTGGCTTGTTTACAATCTGTCAGATCGCTTGTTTTTCTTGCCCCATTAAAAAGTGAATCCAGAACTCAACAAACACTTTGTTCAGTCTGCTGCATAACACGAGCCGCAGAAATATTCCATGGAAATGTTAAATGACTGGATTTTCCATTTTTATATTGACTTTCTAAACCCCTTGTTTCCTCTGCTTGTGGAGTATCTGATAACAAAGTGCTTACAGTATTTCCACAAATGTGCTGCAAGAATTTAACATCAAGCATTGCTTCTTCCTACTTGAATCAATTATAAGTTTCTGCTTTGCTTTCAGTAGAGCACATGCTACTGTACCGCTGTGGATTCCTCCATCTGTGACGTACTCGCCCTTAAACACTTTCCACCTGAGTGTCTGCAGCAGCTGAGGACTGCTGAAGGCTCAAACATAAATTAGTCGCTTGACAAGAAGAAAACAGCTGAAAACAAATCATTTTGAAATGCTTACATTGACATCTGTTTTTGTTTGTTTGTTTGTTGTTTCTCAAAATTAGTCAGAAAATATGGTCGTGCTGCGCCGAGCGATGCAAAAAAACGCGTTCCAACATGTGCGGTCTGTGAACTCGGCGACCAGAAGAACTGAAAAGCTGCTTCACGAACAAGATGGACCGTCTTCAGTGCTGTTAACAGCTGCCATGCTTTAGTAGCAGCCTAATGACAGACATGTAGCCTCGTAGCCCGATAATTAGACTGAAATGACACGGCAGATGCTTCGTTGTGTCGGCCAGAGGGAGTCAAGAGAGGGGGGCGGAGATGTTAGGGACTGTGAGGATTGATCGGTGGGGTTAGAGGTGGTGGAGGTGATTCAGTACAGCACCAACCAAATGAAATGTTGGCAAGTGGTTGCTAATAGCAGGTAACTTAAAGTAGGGCTACACCGTTTGTTTGGTTTTTTTTGCCTCATTGGAATGAACTTTCCAACCTCCAGAATAACCTTTCAGCATGATTCAGGTGATCTGAAAGGACACTACAGTTCTGTGTCTCCTCTTGGTTTCATTTTCAGGCTTCACACAAGGTAGCCTGCGGAAGGAGATGTTAGCCAAGGACAGGCTGTTTCATCTAGAAAAAAAAAAGAGATGCTGAAGTCTGCAGGAAGATGTGGGTGTACAATGGGTCAGTCGGTGGAATTTCACTCAGGAAGGCATGTTTTAAATCTTGGGTGACGCAACCAGAAACTTTATGCTTGACTATTTCTGCATATGCCCACTGTTGTCTGGTTGGAAGGTCTTAGGACCAAGACAGGAGAGGAAGGAGCTGCTTTTTGAGTTTATTTGCCTTTTCCAGACTCCTGCCCACCTTAACCTGTCGGTATTTTATGGCAATGGAGGTAATTTGCTGGTTAAAGAGTTTCTGTCGGTGTGAATTAATCAGTGTCATGTGCCCTGGATGTCATTCTTCTTTTCCATTTTCCAACACATCTCTATTCCTATTAAATCACCCCCATGTCCCGTGTAAGTCACTGAACATATCAGACAGACGAGCAGCCAATCTAGTGCAGAGCGACATACCAGAGAAATTTATCATAATAAATGTCTCATTAAAGTCAGTTCTGATAATTATTAATAATATTTAAAGACCTGCTTTTATTACCAAAAGTAAAATAGTTTATTTTGAATTTAATCACTTTATTGCTCAGGTAGCGTTTTTAATGTTAGCATAACTATGACTAACACACAAACAAACTAATTTACACACAAAAATAGAAATAAATGGGAACTGAGATTAAAGTCCAGAGCACTGACGTTTGTGTTCAACCCGACATCAAGTCCATCAGGTCTCAAACCGGGCCGTTGGAACTGCGTCACTTAGGTGTAAGTGGGGCAGGACACGGGGTCGTGGGTGTTTTTAGACCGCTAAGCCCGTCTCTCAAGGACAACCACCGGTCCCCAGCGGCCACAGCCTCCACTGAGGGAGGTTTGTGGTGAGTTGGAGGTGAGGAGAGGCCAAGATGGACTCGAACAGCGCACATAGGCTCCGTTATCAGGGGATAAGACGAGCTCTTAGAGAAAGTGAATTGTTTAATCCTGCATTTTCATGGTGGTTTGCATCTGATGCATTTAAGTGAAACTATCGATCGTTTAATCGCCCAGGCCAAAGCCAGCATCCTCAGTGGTCAGTGTCAAGAGCATAACAACATCAGCGCTTTGTCGGATCACTCACGGCTGAAGAGCGGTCGCTAATTTCGACGAGCGGTTTCATTGGGAGCAACAACCAGCGGATTCCTACCATGTCGTCTGAATACCACACTGCTCCAGCTCCTCCGCTAACCTGTGGAGCTGTAGGCGTGCATGATGGGTCCATTGCCTCATGTTGTTTACGCCTCACTGCGAGTCTACCATCGCTGCGGTATAGCTGGCACAAAGATTTATCAGACCAGACAACCTTTTTCCACTCATCGACAGTCTAGCGCTGATGTTTCTTATCTCACTGTAAATGCCTTCGGCGGTTTGCTGTGGACAGGAGAGCTACCCTGCTTGCCCGTCTGTTGTTATACCCCATACAGACAAGACTGCACTGGATTGTGCGCTTGGAAATTGATTGCGGTATCCCACAATTGTACTGTGATGTTCGGTGTCATACTGTGGACCTTTGATAACTTGTTATGGCCCGAGGCGCCCAACGTCCCCCACGTTCGTCTTCCCAGGGCCGAGCCTCCCTAAATAGCGAGGGTGTTGAAGAGGTACGCATTGTGCAGCCGAGCAACAGTCGGAGCTTCTGGCACCTACAAAACAACTCTGTAAGAATCCGTTCACATGCAAAGCAGCGGTGGACGCGAAGTTGTTGTGGCATGTGCTTGTTTATGTAAAGGTAAGGAGCGACCTAGTTCTTGTGCCGGGACAGCACGTGTCTTCTGGTCTCTGGCTGCACATTTTACCTCACATAACTGTCTGGTGGAAACGTTTTGGAGAGACGGTCCACATGGTGTGAGGGCCCTGCTGTGACCTGTGAGCCTTACCCGAGGCGGTGCTGGATTATATTCTATCTCCTGCCTCCGCTCGGTGTTTAATGTTCGACTTCATCCCGGTGCGCCGCGGTGTGAATGTCAATGCCGTGTGTCATCACAGCAGACAGATGCCTTGTGTTCTCTGAGAACAACTGTGACGTGGGTTCAGAGTCGCACACAGCCAAGACAAACCCGAGCGGTTAGATGGCTATTTTCAGACAGAGACAGCATAAACAAAATTCCGAACATTCATCAAACGTCACCTGTCAGGTGATTGTTGTCTCGGCCTGTTATCTGTCATCTTGTTTTTACCTGTAGCTAATTGCTGTCTCTGTTATATGTAGCAAAGCCCAGAGCAAAAGAAGGCATCCTGCTTGCTCAACTTAATGCTTTTCTTACCGAGTTTAGTTTAATGTTGAACAATCTGCTGAGCCTGATGCCCTGAGACATGAAGATGACAACATAAAGTAAAAATTGTGGGATTTGAATTGACAAACATCATTTTTTATCCATTTTTTGGCCACAATTTGTCAAAAAATTCTTGAATCAAAACATTTTCTATCTGTACATTTTGATTTTAAGGTGTTAAACTCGTGTGATGGAGCATCAGTAGGTGACACCTCAGGCCTCTAATCTGGGAGATGTGACGTAATTTAAACGCCATCATTCATTCCGATCAGCGCCATCTCTCTTTCTGGTCTGAAGGGGACGAATAGGACAGACGTCAGAGAGAAGTCAGAGCTTTATGTACTCAGATCAATAACTTCAGAAAAGAAAACAGCTTTCCCAACATCTCAGCCCAGGTTGTTGTACATCTGTGACGGATCTGTAAGCCCCGTTTAGTTGCTTTTGCTTTATTTTGGTGTGTAATAACCCTCCAGACACAATGGGAAACATTATGTCGAGACAGAGCATAATGACTCAGTGTAATCCACTTTTTGCCGAATATTACTAAATGTGTTCTCGCAGCTCTTTCTCCATCTTTCCCCCTCCAGCTAATGTTCTGTTGTGTCTAATCAATGGTGAGGCCATAGTAATTTGGTTTGATTGAAATCCCTCTAGGATAAAAACATCATTAGTGTGAGAAAGAGGAATGCGTGAAAAAAGAAAAACACATCAGAAACAAAAGTGTTTTTAATTTCCAATCCCACAGGGGAAATGGCCATATGTAGCTGATGATAATTGGTGGTTTGTTGATAATTGCATCATGTCTCTTTCTCTGCATATGTAAAAGCACAATTTGCATGCATCACATGCCGCCTTTAGATTGATGAATTAATAATGTAGAAATGGTTCGTTTCCTTCTGTCTGGCGACACACACACACACACACACACACACACACAGTATCTTATTTCACCCTCTCGTCCCCTCTCTTTTCTCACTTTCTTATTTTCTCTTCCTGTGTTTTGCTCCCCAGATGAATTTAACCCCGAACTTCCCAAGCTGGAGAAAAGCGTCAGCGGCAGCAGCCCATCACGCGACCGCCTTCTTCTCACCGTGGCGATGCTGCTCGTGTCTGCCGTCCTCTTGTCCTAGCGACTGTCACCGGGTGACACCTCATGCACAGCTGGACCGCCTTGTCCAAAGGGCTTTGTATCCACCGGGTTTTTGACGATGCGAAAGTCGACGGAGAATCAAACAGAAGTGCAACGGAACCACAATCAAGAGGACACAGGAGACAATTCTTAAACTTAGCTTAATGGACTTTAAAAGAAAAACAAAAAAACAAAAAAAGAGAGGCCTTTTTGCTGTCATATTTACACCAGTGTGTTTTGACACTACATGTTGTTGTCGGACATCACACGACATTTCATGCAGGTGTGAAGACCGCCGCCAATATTCAGTATCAGACTTCTGTGCTGCTCTCACGCCTCCTACCAGTGAGAAGATGTATTGAGTTGGACGTAGACTACACTCACTTATTGTAGCATGGATATCAAATCACCTGAGGAGTATAAGCTGCACCGTCTTCAGCTGATGAAAGTAAGGATTTTGTAACCGTGAGCTTCGATGACGAGATTCTTTTTTGTAGACCTTGGATAAGAGGCATGTCGAAGCATTAACTCTTGATGCAGTAAAGAGCGAGACGGACTCTGGAAGTGTACCGATCTTACCAGGATGTTTATATGATCAGTCGGTGATGAGAACCGCTGCCTGGACACTAAAGAATGTGTTCACACTGGTGTGAAGGAGCTGCTGGTAATAAGAGCCCCGAGAAAAGTGAAAGACTTTGTGAGGATATCCACAGGCCTTTCAAGTACCCATTTTCTCCAGACATCAAAAATACCCCTGGCTTTGTGATAGGTACAGATGCAAAGCCTGCGTTTCTTAGAAGGTAGCGAGTGCCCTCTTAGAACTAGTCTTTTGTCTGCGTTTCCTGCCTTCACACTGTAACAACCCTAGAAAAATACAGACCCTGGACTAGTAATTTGACGGCACTTAGACGTGGTAGATGTGGTAGATGTGTGTTTTGTTCCGATGCATTTACCTTCAGCACTTGGCGTAGATTTTCCGGATGTCAAACCTTTCTCCTCGCAGCAATCAGCACAGTCATTCAGGACGCCACTAATTTACAATTCTCTCTCTTCCCCCTCCCGCAAAAAGAAAAAAAAAAGAAAAAGAAAAAAAAAAAGAAAAGGGGGAAAACTCTCTCTCTCTCTCTCTCTCTCTCCCTCTCCCCCTTTTAATCCCCCCCAGACAACCCTGTCTGTCTGTCTGTCTATTCCTTTTCCACTCGAGAGGTTCGCAGCCAATCAGCGCTGATGGCCATTACAGCAGTCACACGGTCACCATGGAAACAACCCCATACAGTCGCCGAAGTGTGGCAGGTGCCTGAGGAGAAATTGTGCTTTGAGTCTCAAAGTAACGCTGCCGCCATTTTGTTAATAAAAAATAAAAAAACAAAAACAAAAAGAAAAGAAAAAAAAACAACAACAACAACAAACGAAACCAACACGCGTGAATGTGCAAATAAGGAGGAGTTCACTTTTTTTATATTGTAATACAGGACAACGTAGGCTGGCGTTAATCAGATTACAATGTCGTGCTTTTTATTTAAAAGTTTTATTTACTTTTCAAATGTATTTATTTTAACATTAAAGTATATTATTTATCTAATTTATTAGCGTGCATTCGTAGGCCTTTGCTACCAATAAGCTATTGTGCCATTTTTTTATTGCGTTTTTTTAAAAAACGAGTGGAATTTTTCGCTTGTGTAGATACGGTAGATGTAATTCCGCCTGACACCGAGAGAGGGTTACTGGCGACGGCTAATCAGTAGGGACGTACACTCAGCAACCCCGCTCTCATGTAACAGATACTGCTAACCAGATTATGTTGCTGAAGAGCATGTCATAAACCAACTGTGAATGCACAGACGAGAGCAAGACGGAAGGGCGGCATTCCTCAAGTTGCTGCATTTGCAAAACAAGGGAGTCTGCATTGTAATGTATATTTATAATACATGCCGGATATGGAATGTGTGTGTGCGTGCGAGCGAGTGTGTGTGTGTGAGAAAACGTGCGAGAGGTATAAACATATGTGTGCACATGGGTGCGTATGTATGCAGAATGTGTTTCGTCCGCGCTTTTCAAGTATGTGGCATTTAGAAATTTCGTAACCGTTAAGGAGTCATTTGTAGGATCTGAATATGCAAGTGTGTATGAGAGAATGTTCTGTAATGTTAGTTTATGTTCCGGGTGGGAGGACGGGCGGGGGAGGGTTGTTTTTTTTTGGGGGGGGGGGGGGTAAAGCGGACGAAAAGCATTTACCGATGTTGAAGACAACCACAATGTGTTTACCTTTGACGAGAATGAACAAACAACTGTAAATTGAACCAAGAATGATTAAAAAAAACAATGCCAATTAAAATCTTTTTTGCAAATTTACTTTGGTGTACTTGTTTATATCGCTGCCCCTGTTTTTTTTTTTTCTCCCTCCTTTATCTGAGCGGCGACTCCTTCACCTTCACTCACCCTGCACTCACTTCTGTTTGTTTTTCCTTGAGCGCTACTTGAAAGCAGAGTTCTCCTCTCCCTTTTTTTTTTTTTACCCTCACACTCCACTTTTAGCAGACTTGAAAACCCTCACGCTGCACATAACTATCGCTCTTTTGCACATGGCCCATCCTCACAGCACCTTCGCTTCAGTTTCACAAACGCTTCTCGTGCCATAAAGCAAAAATGACAGCGTGGGGGTGAAAGTCGCGGCTCCACGTCTCCCACTCGATCCATCTCTACTTTCTCAAAAGAGGAGGAGAAAAAAAAAAAAGTGGGGGAGAAAACACCTGCAAGCCATTCATGTCTCCACAAATCTGTCTCTCTCCTCTCCCTTTGCCCCTGTCAGCTTCTTTCTAATCTTCATATGCAGAACAGAAAGAAGCTGACAATAGGGAGGGACACGTCTGGGATGCACTAATGTTCAGTGTCAAGAAGAGGACGGAGGGGGCAGATAAGATTTTGTCTTTGATGTTACGCGTCAGGGCCTGAACTCACGCGAGAGAGAGAAAGAAGCAGATTCGGCTGTCTGGTTGTGATTTTCATTTCCAGCCTTGGGTCACAGTGTGTTTCTGTGTGTGTGTGTGTGTGTGTGTGCGCTGAGGCCTTGTGCCAAGTTAATCTGATGTACTTTATGTGATTGATGATTTACTTGACATAATGTGAGTCACAGTTAACCAAGCAGGTTACAGTGAAGTGATCGCGTCTATTAATGTCTGTTTCACAGCTGTTTGACTCTGCTCGTGAGGGAGCGCCGTCTGATTCTGTCTGACATTTGTGCATTTAGCTTGACAGACTGATAATTGAGGAATATTACAGTAGGCCTTGGCTTACAGTCCCCTTCGCCTTTTTCATGGGCCCAGACTTGCACATTTCACTTCGGTGTTTTGACACCGTGAAACAGTGGAAGGGTTTTAGCTCCAGCTCTTGGGGCCAAGTTGACAACTTAAAACATCATTTTTCCAGGAAGCCGGCCCGCTTCGTTTGGCTGCGAGGATGCCTCCGGTTGGTTATGTAAGAGAATTAACTCTGTCATATTTACACCTTAAATTCCTGTCTGGGAAGGCTTATGTTTTGCTTATGCCTAAATGAAACATTAATTGATCTGCTTACTATTCAAATGAGGGGATCAGGAGTGTTGCCGGTGGATTAGAACTGCCTACCTTCTCCCCGAGCAGCTGACACAGAGCTTCACGTTCCCGCCGTGAACCAGAAACCTAACAAGGGCTCTGTCCAGATTCTAAGTGAGGAAGACGTTCCATTAGCGAAAGAGGAGATAACCCCTTCTTTGTTTTGAGGCATATTATCGTTTTCTGAATCATTTACTTTGAGATAAGCCATCTGTAGCATGGGCAGGTCTGTGCCGTTCAGGAGAAATTCCCTTGACGAGCTTCGCCGTCTGGCCCAAACAATGAAACAGATGCCTCCTCCTCGGAGAACTTGTTATAACTCAGGACATCAATGAGACAATCACTGAGCACAGTGCTGCATTCAAGTGATCCTTGGAAACTCCTACTTCAAGGTTGGGAGTCGTAAAAAATGATTTACGGCTCATTCGAGGTGGGTCGAGCCAGAAAATGATGTCACTGATGTATGCATAATTTAAGTGGTTTTTACACAAGAAATGCATCCAGCGAGCTCACGTACACACATATCCTGGTTTGTCCTTTAAACATTTTAGACATTTCATTTAATTAATGGACATAGGCAGAAATAAAAGTAGTGGATTAAACCAAAACAAAAACCTTGTGACACATTTTATAGCAGCAATTATGTCAATTAAATGACTTCTGCAGTGAGGAATCAGCCCATCGCATCTGCTTTGAAGGATTTTTATCGACTTCTCCCTGAAACACTTCCCAGATAAATTCTTTTTCCCCCCATAAACACTCTGAGAAAGTTCTGCAAAGTTCGACTAATGTTTCCAGTGGGATGTTTTCTCCCAGTTCCTAGAAAGTTCTCCTTAAAGGCAGGATAACTGAAGATATTCTAATAATGTTTGCTGATAACATTGCCAGAACGTTATGCATTTTAAAAGCAAAATGTTGCTCTGAGAATGTTCCTCCTTTGTTATCATGTAACATTGTGGGAATGTTTTTTAATAGATTCTATCATGTATTCCTGGACAACGTCCCCAAAACATCCGCAGAACGTTGCAGGCAGATTGTTCCACCTTTTTGAAAACATTGCATTACCGGAACATCCTAAATGTTCTATCTGTGGTCCAGAGAACATCTGAAAGACATTTTTTTGAATATATATTTTTTGAGAACATTCTTACTGTTATGTAACATTGTGTGAATGTTTTCTAGAAGAAAGTTCTAGAAAGTGTTCCCTCAAAGACATCCCTAAAACATCTCCAAAATGTTCCACCTTTGTGGAATGTAGCACTGTACAGGAACATTTCATAAAAACATCATCTGAGGCTCTGGTAACATCTAAAAAACATTTTGTGTATGTTGGTTTGAGAACGTTCCTTTATTGTTATCATAGAACGTAACCTGTGTTTCTGACAACATCCTCTCAGTGTTGACGTATAAC